TATCCGCACAATGACGCATGTCATCTGTCACCAAAGTCTGGGAAGGATCCAAGTCAATGACCTGATCAATGACGGGGAGCACAGGAAAGACAGAGTCGGAAAGTAGTTCATCTTCCGAGTCGGAAACCATGATCACGGGCTGCAGGTGGTGCAACTCAGTATCATCCAAGACCTGCAATCGGAGCAAGCAGGTCAAGGTCTATAAAGTCACATATATATATATATATATATTAACTATCTCCTTAGAGATATGATGTTACAACTTTCTTCTTATATATATATATTTATAAATATATATATATATACAGATGATCTATAGTCCCCTCTGGATAGTTCTGTCGAAATGTTTTCCAAGGTTTATCCTTGATGTAGTCGTAGAAACCACTGATAATAATTGTGAAACTTCACAATTCCACGACAACACAAAGAAAGGAGCAATGAATTGGAGGACCAGCAGCCGGAACCGTCTGAATCAAGCCGTCTCTGTCCTCGCCAGCATCTTCCACAGGCAAGTTCGTCCCAAGCAATGCATCATATGCAAGGGCAGGCTGCAGCGATGGCGTGTCCGCATCACGTTGAAGAACTGCTGAAAGGTCATGCCTCAGCAACAAGTTGCGAGAAAAAGAAGCGTTACACAGTTTAAGGAGACGCTTGACTGACCACCACGAACCAAAACTTATGTCATCAGCGTGACAAGCTACCATTGTTGCACTCCAGCGACATGCACACAAAAAGACGTGATCTGCGTGCGACGACCACGTGCTACAAGTGTTTGCAGAGCAGCAGAAACGGCTGGGCCAGGGCACGGGTTGGATCGTAAAAAACGATGCCATTGATCTCTCAAAACTGGCACTGCCCGTCTCAACGTAGCAAAGTCGTGCACATTGGCCATGATTGCCTGCACTGCTTGCAATCCCACGTCGTAGCTTCTAGCTTCTTCAAATGCAGAACACGGAGGCGACATGACTTCATGAAGATGATCTAAATACTGCACATCGTATTGCCGCCATGCCGACAACAAAGGTGGCAAAGACTGCCGAGTGAAACGTAAAAGAATTAGGAACGTAAGTCCTAGGACCACTTGATCCATGAAGCCCACTGGTGGGAAGACCATCAATGGACACAGACCATTTACACTCACAGCATGTACACTCATTTGGCTTTCGGAAGCAAGTGTCAAACACGTATTAACGTAATCCATCTCAATCCATGTGTTCCTACCCACAAATATAACATTAGTAAAAACAATCCCCACACAAACAAAACAACCCCTCGTCGCTGCCAAAGGCATCTTGACACCAAAGACCCGCGAAATCTGAGCATCTGACCTGACCGGATCGGACAACACAAAGTAATTATAACATATGGAAATGTGGTGTATGAATACAAGGTGATTTACACAATAGAACCATTAGGGGAAAAATGACATGCTATAATATGCTATATACTATTAGCAATTGATTCGATACCGGCCCACAATGACAACCCCACCCCACCCCATGCGTGACGTAAGACATCTTCAACGTAGCATGACATATGTGCGCCAGTGCAAGTTAACGTGCAGTGGCGTCGCATCACGTATGTGTGGAAGTTGCAGAAGAACGTGCAGTGGCGTAGCATCACGTATGTGTGGAAGTTGCAGAAGAACGTGCAGTGGCGTAGCATCTCGTACGTGTGCAAGTGACAATGAACGTTACCATCCCCACCCCACCCCACCCCAGCGTAGCATCACGTATGTGTGGAAGTTGCAGAAGAACGTGCAGTGGCGTAGCATCACGTATGTGTGCAAGTGACAATGAACGTTCACATATCCACCCCACCCCACCCCACCCCAGCGTAGCATCACGTATGTGTGGAAGTTGCAGAAGAACGTGCAGTGGCGTAGCATCACGTATGTGTGTAAGTGCCAATGAACGTTATTGCCCCACCCCACCCCACCCCAGCGTAGCATCACGTATGTGCGGTAGTTGCAGAAGAACGTGCAGTGGCGTAGCATCACGTCCATGTGTTGCAAGAGTGACAATGACGTTAAACATCCCCACCCCACCCACCCACCCAGCCGTAGCATTCAGTATGTGTGGAGTTGCACAGAAGACCGTGCAGTGGCGTAGCATTCACGTATGCGTGCAAGTGACAATGAACGTTTTAACAGACCCCCCACCCCACCCACCCCACACGAGTAGCATCACGTATGTGTGGAAGTTTGCAGAAGAAGTGGCAGTGGCGTTGCATCACTTGTGTGGCAAGTGAACATGAACGTTAAAATCCCACAACCCCACCCCACCACACCCAGCGTTAGCATCACGTATGTGTGGAAGTTGCAAGACGAACGTGCAGTGGACGTAGCATCACGTATGGTGAAGTGACAATGAAACGTTAACATCCCCCACCCCACCCCACCCCACCCCACCCCACCCCAGCGTAGCATCACGTATGTGTGGAAGTTGCAGAAGAACGTGCAGTGGCGTAGCATCACGTATGTGTGGAAGTTGCAGATGAACGTGCGGTGGCGTAGCATCACGTATGTGTGTAAGTGCCAATGAACGTTAACATCCCACCCCACCCCACCCCAGCGTAGCATCACGTATGTGTGGAAGTTGCAGAAGAACGTGCAGTGGCGTAGCATCACGTATGTGTGCACGTGACAATGAACGTTAACATCCCCACCCCACCCCACCCCCACCCCAGCCGTAGCATCACGTATGTGTGGAAGTTGCAGAAGAACGGGCAGTGGCGTAGCATCACGTATGTGTGTAAGTGCCAATGAACGTTATTGCCCCACCCCACCCCACCCCACCCCAGCGTAGCATCACGTATGTGTGGAAGTTGCAGAAGAACGGGCAGTGGCGTAGCATCACGTATGTGTGTAAGTGCCAATGAACGTTATTGCCCCACCCCACCCCACCCCACCCCAGCGTAGCATCACGTATGTGTGGAAGTTGCAGAAGAACGTGCAGTGGCGTAGCATCACGTATGTGTGCAAGTGACAATGAACGTTAACATCCCCACCCCATCCACCACACCCCTCCCCCCCTAGCGTAGATCACGTATGTGTGGAAGTTGCAGACGAAAGTGCTGCATTGCGTAGAATCAGTACGTGGGCAAGTGGACAAGGAACGTTAACATCCCCACCCCACCCCACCCCGCCCCAGCGTAGCATCACGTATGTGTGGAAGTTGCAGAAGAACGTGCAGTGGCGTAGCATCACGTATGTGTGCAAGTGACAATGAACGTTAACATCCCCACCCCACCCCACCCCACCCCAGCGTAGCATCACGTATGTGTGGAAGTTGCAGACGAACGTGCAGTGGCGTAGCATCACGTATGTGTGCAAGTGACAATGAACGTTAACATCCCCACCCCACCCCACCCCACCCCAGCGTAGCATCACGTATGTGTGGAAGTTGCAGACGAACGTGCAGTGGCGTAGCATCACATATGTGTGCAAGTGACAATGAACGTTAACATCCCCACCCCACCCCACCCCACCCCAGTTTTGTGGGCCGGTAAAAGATCCGCTAGCATATACATATATACACACACACGTACATATCATGATACGTTCTGACAGTTCTCGTCTCGTTCGCCCAGGTTCGCACCCTATGCTGCAGTTGCAGCAATCTCGGCCTCCCTTGGCGCTGTGCTTGGCTCGGAGAAGGTCCAAGTCTATGGGGCCTTGGTGTCACGGCCAAACTTGGGTGGGCCAGCGGTTTCCCTCTTACCCTTCGGTAGTTTAACGTAGCTATTGGAAGCCATGGCCTGTAGATGATTTACTGTATTAGTTAGTAGCTACAAAAATATTACAAAAATACCAAAGAGTTGTGATTTTCCATGGCTATGTTTGATTATCAGAGGATATATATACTTTCGTTCAATGATGTTAAATTGCCACAATTTGGATTGAATTGGGTATATTTGCGTATACACTGGTGAACTGGTACGCGTCATTTAGGGACAAACCCAGATGGTTCACTTCTTGTGGTAAGTTGGTGGAAGTAGCCAGATGGTACAGATTTATGCAGATTTGATCGGATTTGCTCTTGATTTGATAGACTGGGGCCCAATTCGGAGACGAGGAGTCATGCGTAATTAGTGGTCCGAACTTAAGATCGAAGATGCTCCAAGATGAGTCTGAGTGTATTTGTGGTTTTACTATGTTTTACTAAATGTTTGAGTATTTTGGGCTGGAGAGATGTGCACTGTCCCTATTGACTGACATTTGCAAAAATGACATGGTTAAGGAGAGGATCGGTGGGTTGGATCATGTTGGATCAGACAACTGAAAGAAAAACCCATCAATTCGCGCGCTGAGAGTGAGAGTGGCAGAGACACTGAAAACATGCCAGGAGCATCCAGGAACAATTATTAATCAGAGCAATTGGTCTTGGCAAACCGAGGCAAAGGTGAAAGGCTGGCAACTTGGCTGAAAGTTTTGGTAGCCAGCTGGAGCTGGGAAAGTGGGGAGAACTTTGGGGGTGACATGATGTGACATGGGTCGAGGTTGTGGGTCAGGCCCCCATGCTGCAGGTTGGGCTTCAAGGCAGCTGCTGTGGACCTCACGGAGCCATCTGCAGTGCTGGCAGAAGCCTTGAACTTGGCAAAGGCAACGCCCCAAGATTGCGGAGTGCTCTCCACGCGACAGCTGCGAGGTACGGGGCGGATGTCGTGGGGGTGCGACGAGGTAGGATGCTGTGACAAGACGGCTGCTGGTCGGGATGGCCATTCCAATTTGCTCAGCACTCTCGCATACCTGATTTACATTGACTTACCCTATCTCGATTCCAAGTGATCCAAGTGTGTTGGATGCAATTAATTATGTAGGTCAGCCACGTCCTCGCCGCAGGTGGCGTAGCTTCAAGGATGGTGCAGTTAAAGGACCGGCCGAAGCATGCCGAAGCAGATCCCACACTTTCTGAATCATTTTGAGAATGTCTTGAGGATGTGTGGCAGCTTTAGGCAGAATATGTGCGGGGCAGCACGCGCCCACATCCCAATGGGGCATGATGCTGCTGCACGCACGTCAGGAGCCATTCGGCGTTCAAGAGGAAGATGGAAAGGTCAAAGTAAACTTTTTCACATCGCAGGCGAGCAGAAAGTCGATTGACTGCATATTCAAGGACATATTCAACCCGCCTTCCTCTCGCTTCCAACCTGAAAGTTGCAACCTGAGATTGTAGATTGGTGTCGTGCCAAGGTTTAGCGAGCTCAAGAGTGATCCCAGCTGCGCGTTGCTCTACTGGAACCCGGAAACCTTGACCTACGCTGCTGCCTCAGAGGTTTACAGCCTTCAAAATCTTCAAAGATGCCTTCTAATCCTTCTATATCCTTTCATTGCTGAATGCTGCAGGTGACCTTTCAGGGGCGAGCAGAGGAAAAGTCGCCTTCAGAGGGAAACAACTTTTGGAGGGAATGGATGCAGATTCTGTACAAGGACTGGCACTGCACGGGATATATGACAAAAGATCCGAACATGTTGCAACATTGTCACGAGCCAGCCATTGGATTCGATTGGGGCATTGGCATTGGAATTTGGTGAAAGGATTTGACGATGTTGACTTCATTGTATGGTTCGGAAATGATAGAGACAAGGCATGCACATACCAAATGAACTTGGTTGTCAATCCAATCTTCAATTTCACGGAGTTTGGTAAGATGCTTTTAAATGCATTGTAGTCTTGATATGTTTGGAGGAGCATTCCTCTGTAGACTCATTGTAGACATGATTCGGGTAATCATGTTTTCCTTGCGGTCGCAAAGAGAAGCTGTCATTGAGTCTTCCAAAGTTAGGAGACTTGAGGACTGCGGCCCAGAATTTGTTCAGACAAGGATTATTGATGCTTATCACTTTGGACGCGAGTGTCCTGGTTGATCTACAGGAATCCTACAGGAATCCGTGCAAACAGCGAGGATTTCAAGAAGAACACCTAACTGCTTTTGCGCCATAAGCAATTGGCAAAAGGAGTATGGTGCATTGGGGCCAACAAGATCGTCACATGGGCCCGCAAACTGGCAGTGACAGATAAGAAGTCCAGGATCAGCTGAGGAGTGTGCAGGAGGTTCAGGCCATAGGCGCTGGATTCACTGCGATCTTGTCAAGATCAGCTCGAATTTCTGTAGCTCAAGGTGCTGAAGATTTGGAGGATGGAACTGTTAAAGTTGTTAAAGCTTTCACAATTTTCAGGCCTCGAAAGACAACTGTATAGCAGTTGCACAAGACTTCCCGCCCAAAAGAAGTTCACTGAACTCATCGGTGTAATTCCAACCCCCATGCCCTATCCCAAAATAGTTTGACCAAATGCCTTACCCAAGCCAAGCAAATGGCAAATTCATTTCTAGCAAGATTCTGCCCGCACTTCCTGTTTCATTTGCCGTAACTTACAATCATGCATCATCATTTATCCATATGGTCCATATGTTTTCCTGTTTGCCACATCCGCTAAGTATCGATGTTTGAATCATCTTAGGCTGCATGACATGTAGTATTCCATAGCCAGAAATGGCTGCAACTCAAGCGATGCTACCGCTAAAGGATCCAAAGCTGTACACTGCATGGCATTTGCATGTCCCTTGGATGCGTTGTGAGCCCATGCGGCGAGAATGGGGAGAGTTGCTATGTTTTTGATGTCAATCTACAACTAAGATGGGCTAAAAGGCATCATGACAAGAGAGCCAGCATCCCATCCAAACCACAGTGGTAGCTCAAAAGGTAGTTCTACAGCTTCAGCATGATTTGCAATGACAAATTTTGAGAATGCTGCTACTCAGTAGAGGCTTTGCCTAGCGGGGTCTGTACCCGCAAAGGATTTCAAATGCCAGCTCAGGTGCAAAAAATCCAGGCACATTCGTGAACAGGGTGGATGTGTTAGAGCTGTCCCACGAACACAAAATGGGTTCGCGATCCCCACTGCCTGCATGTTGGCACTATGAGTTTAACCGCATCATCAATGTTTGATAAGTTCCTTGCAAACTTTGGATTCAAGCAACCTCAAGAGTTGTCACAGCCCGGGGAGGGCACGTGTGTGTGTGTGTGTCAAATAGGAATCAGAATAAGTAGGGCAAAGACTAGGACTTCAGCAGCGGTATTTTAATTTCTTTCGGCATTCTGGGCCACTGCTTGCAGGTAGTCAGTATTGGGTGCCTTGGCTGCATCATTCCGGATGCTGTTTTTTTCAATCAGCGGCCCACTTTACTCCTGATTTGTGTGCTTGTGTGCGGTAGAGCCCTGGCAGTGTATTCATCCATCCATTGAAGTTTATGGTACCTATTGGTAAGGAGAAGGAAGAACTGGCAGGGCCAATCATAGAGATGCGGCCAGGGCTCATCCGACCCTCAATGCCACGGCATTGAAGTTGCTTCAACCGCATCCCTGAGCTCAGGCGCCTTGAAAGCTACCGCAAGGATTGGCGTCCAGTGGAACTTGAATGGGTCAATGATGGTTCCTGGAAGGTGCAACCTGCCAGAGTTTATATGATGTCAAGTGATGAAATGTCTTGGACATGTGTTGATAGATTTTGAATGAATGACATGAAAAATATGAAAAGGGATGTGGATCGCTTCGATGGTATAGAAACAGAAAGAGGTTGTGGTTGCTGGCGTTGGCTTTCATTGTGTTTTTTGTCTGTGTATGTGTTCTTGTGGGGATTTTGAAGGGAAGAACACGATCTGATCAAGCGAGTTGTGGGATGGCTGGGATGATGGTGACGACGCTGACTATGTCGGTGATAGAAGGGGCACCGCCGTTGGTAGCTAGGTGGCGCTAGATATGTTGATTGAATATGATTGAATATGATTATGATTACACTGATTACACTAATTTGTCTGCATTGTGGTTTAGAAGATTTTAGCACAAGAGTGGATCAGGACTGTGCAAGGGACCTCAAACCTTTGAAGACCTTTTGTCCACTTCTTGCTTTGGATTGCTCAGCATTGGCAGGTCGTATGTGATGGAACTGAGTGAGCCACACTAGACTTTGATTCCTGAATGTTCCCTCGTGTACGGCTGCAGCATGAGTCAGAAAAAGCGGAAAAAGCAGCAAACACATCAGGCTTTGATGATTGCAGATGTGGCTTTGAAGCAGTTTGAATGGGTTGGATAAATAAGTCTGCGGCAGTTTGGGTGTTTTTGTAGGGGTTGGGTTGAATGACACCTCGCAACAGTGCTACAGGTTTATGAGTGATTCAAACGAAACTACGCAGGAGACTGAGAACGAGTAATGAGCATTATATGATTATATGATAAATCTTTCGAAGCAACGTCTTGCGTTTGGATATGTTTGCATACAGTGGCATCATCCGCTGTGGCTGGAGAGATATCGATCAAATCTGTATGGTTTAAAGTTTAAAGGCCAACTAGCAGCAGGCTCATTTGTCTCCCAAAACTGGAAAGGACGTCGTCCTGTTTCTCCCAAGTGTGCTTTTGACATGTCCGGGCACCATCTTCAATTGCGCAAGGTGGTACGGATGGAGGGGGATTTGAGCATGAGCTGAAAGAAATTACCAACAACTGACATGCCCTAAAGCCACTGGAACATGTTCCAACGATTTCCAGTGGCACGTGTACACCCTCCGTCAGCTCCGCCCAATATCGCCACAGCAGCAGCAGCAGCAACAGCAACAGCAACAGCAACAACAACAACAACAACAGCAACAGCAACAACAACAACAACTACAACTACAACGACAACAACAACCACAACCACAACCACAACCACACCCACACCCACAGCGACAGCGACAGCGACAGCGACAGCAACAGCAACAGCAACAGCAACGATGATGACGACGACGACGAGTAATACAAGTACGTTATCAGCACTAGTGCTTGCACTACTACAATTGCAGACGCAGTAGATGCAGTAGATGCAGTAGATGCAGTAGGTGCAGTAGGGAACCCCGCATACACACAATAATAAAGCCTCGGCTAGATGCCAAGCATGATTCACTGGCAAGCGGGCATCTTCGTCAATACTTGCAACCTCACATGGCATGAGCCGGTCATAGCCGGTCACATACTATGACATTGCTTGACATTGCCTGCTTTCCTGTCAATGCTTCCGGCTCTGAAGACGGCGGTCGGGGGGCAAGGCCGACGCAGTATAGTATAGCAAAGGGTCAAGAGGACACAAATAGTCATGTTGCCATCAAAGTTATCATGAAATGTTCATGGGGGGCATGGCAATTATCAATAAGCAACATTATGTCATTGCACTTCACTTTGGTTGTTTGGGTGCCAAGGGCCATCAGGTCCAGAGGTGGCGCAAGGGGATTGCAATGGCCGCGCCAACAGAGGATGAGCTTGAGGATTTCATTAAGGACCAGCGGTGGAAGGTGAAGAGATGTAGAGACCTTCAATTTTCCGCTATGAAGAGAGTTTCTGCCTCGAACC